CCTTCCTCCCATGCCAGATTTTAAATAGGTTACCTTCTATGTAAGTCGATGGGTTTCTTCCTAACTCGTGGATCGTCACAAGAATGTACTGGTCGGGTCCGATTGATTATCGATGGGTTGATTGTGGCGCGGTGTGTTTCAATGCTACTTGGCTACAACGCTTTAATAAAACTCTATTCTTTTAGGACAAGTTGTTGCTCGTTTGTTTATTTATCCCTCATCACACTGCAACAGCATGTAGCCATTAATATTTCACCTTTTCCCCCCCGCTCGCCGACTTGACTCTCTGCATATTTAAATTGCTGCATTCATTTTTTTTAAGAGTTAGCAAATCTGCTCCAAATGCAAAACGGGCCAAATTACAAATTGATGGCTTGTAAGGTTGTTTTTTTTCCTTGTGGAAAACTGATCCTCTGATCTTAACCAGTTCAGGCAGAAGAAGAATACATCCACTGTGGAATTACAGAGTTCAGCCGATGGTTATACTGTATGATTTTACTGATAACAAAGTTGATAAAAGAATCAACTATCTTCTCTTCCACCGCATTACTTGTCAGAAAGTGACATGTGGGTGAACTTTGACCTGCAGCAATACATATCTGAGAACAATCTACCCACACGCTTCTTCTTTGACTAATCAATTAGTTAATTGATAAAAAAATAAAAACTATCAAAGTTTTAATACTGTAATGCCTCTGCAAATCATGCAAAATGATCTGTTGACTCATTTGTAAATATTATTGTGACGCCAGAGATCAGGTTCAGGTTACTTTTATTTGTACCTGTAGGTAGACTTGGTTTGCAATAGAGGGCGAGGCATCCATCTCGACGGGCATTACAATCAACACAGACAAGACAAACATGATAAAAGTACACAAGGCTACAAATCAGTAATTCACTAAATAAAATAAATAAGTACACAATTTGATGTGGGTCGATCATATCATTTTCCATTAATTACAACAGTAATGCCTAGTACTATACAGTATCTAGTGATACAGATGTTATGAGTCAATGTATCGCGATACTGCAATACTGTAAGGTGTATTGCAAGTTTTAGAATTTACTTTAGGAAAACTCGAACACACCACCGTTACTATAAAATCTGAACGGAATTAGTATTTGCCTAAATCAGTAAAATAAAAAGTGCTTGCAGGATTCTTAAGGTAAACAAATTATATATATAAAAAATGTAAGCAGACAGTCTAACATATATTTACAGACTGTATATATCTTTAAGATATTACTAATTAAAATAAGTGTTTATTGAGAATCGATGCGGTATCACAAAACATGTGACTAGCAGAGTACTTAAAACACCAAAACTGAACATTTTATTTATTATTTTGGATATATAAAACATGCATATATACCCTCCGTAAATTTAAAACCAGCCTCATACTCGGCCATAAAAAACACGTGTCCAAACATTGCTGATCCATGACCTGTTCTGTCAGTGCTAATTAAGACCGCCTCAAAAATGTATTGTCATATTTGAAAAAAAATGGCGAAACAATAAAATGCCTCTGTAATTACATAATGTATTTACTTGTTTATTGATCTAATACATAAAATGGGCTCAATAATATAAGCATATATATACATATATATATATATACATATACATATACATATGTATATATATATATATATATATGTATATATATATGTATATATATGTATATATGTATATACACATATATGTATATATATGTATATATGTATATACACATATATGTATATATATGTATATATGTATATACACATATATGTATGTATATATATGTATGTATGTATGTATGTATATATATGTATGTATATATATATATATATATGTATGTATATATATATGTATGTATGTATATATGTATATATATGTATGTATATATGTATATATATGTATGTATATAT